GGCCTTGAAGGTCACGGTGAGTGGTTACAGCTATATTAAAAGTGCAGGGAGAAGCCACAGAGGGTTTGCAGCAGGGTTGGGCCATGTGATGGTTAGTGTTCTCTCCTCTCCTCTGTCTTTCTCTCTCTCTCTCTCTTTTCTTTCTTTCTTTATTTCTTTCTTTCTTTCTTTCTTTCTTTCTTTCTTTCTTTCTTTCTTTCTTTCTTTCTTTCTTTGTTTTGTCCTTCCTTCAGTACCAGGGCCTTTGCACTGACCTATATCTTTACTCTTTAATTGTTGGAGACAAGATAGGTTTCTAAATTGCCCAGACTGGACTCAAACCTTGTTATCCTCCTGCCTCAACCTCCCACAGTGCTGGAATCACAGGTGCCCACTACCACGCCTGGTTTGGTTAGTGGTTTGGGGTTTCTTTTCTTTTTTGGTACTGGAGATTGAACTCACTATCTTGTGGTTACCAGGCAGACACTTACTCGACCAAGCTAAATTCACAGCCCTTGGTTAGTGTTTTTGTGTGATTCCTCCAGCTTGGAAGTGGTTTGGAAACCTGGGGAGAGGCTGAGTGTGGGGCAGTTTGGGGACTGCATCAAAGCAGGTACTAAGGAAGTGGGCTCAGAGCCAGGCATGGGGCTGGGCTACATGCTGGCATGGGGCACCCAGCAGGCACTGGACAAGGGTCTTGGTCGCTACCTTCCCTGACTCCGACTGCCTGCTCCCACCTGTGCAGCGCCCTGGGCATCTTTCAGCTCTGGTCCAACTCTGGCCACACTGCTTCCACCCCAAGATGGCGAATGAAGGCTGACTTCCCCTTGGGTGGTGAGGAGGGAGTTTCTGCAGCCCCAGGGCCTGACCGGCAAGTGACTGAAGGGCTGGAGGCTGGCTTTGCTCTTGAGCTTTGAGCCTGGGGCCCACAGCATGTGGGAGGAAAAGTCTCATGGTGACTCAACTCTGAGGCCAGGGCCTCTTGCTAGACTGTGCTACCTGTGCCCAGGCCCCACAGCCCTCCTGCCTCTGGCCCCTGGGGTCAAGCCAGAGAGAGCTGGATAGACTCAAAACTGGAGCGAAGCTGCAGGGAGCCAGAGCCTCTCCTGCTAGCACCCAGTGCAGATGGGAAGCTGAGCCCCAAGGGAGGGGCTGTGCAGCCAGAGGCGGAAGCCGACTGCATTGTCCATCTGTCTGTTCTCTTCTTGTCCACCTCCTAGGTCTCTGTGCTGGACAGCAGTGAGCTTTGAAGCCTCTCAAAACCTCCCAGAAAGACCCACTCTGCACAAGTATCAAAGTATCACACGTAATCCCATTACTTCGTAGAACTTTTCTGTGTCATTTAGAAAATAAGTTTAATTAAAAAACAAAGGAACAAACAAACAAACTGCCTTAGCCTCTGCACTGTTGCAACCCAAGCAGCTGGGAGGCTGTGATAGAGGTTTAGAAGTTTGAATCCAGCCAGGGTAACTTAGTGAGATCCTATCTCAAAATAAACAAGTAAAAAGATGAGTTTGGGCGGTAGCTCCTCGCAAAGCCTTGGTTCAATCCCAAGTATCAAATAGAAAATTACAATAAATACATAAATAAAAATTTAAAAATGGGTTTAAAAAGTGTCTGAGAATGCCACTATGCAGGGCAGTATTATTGCTGTTGGAGGAAATCACACGGATGTGGACAGTTGTGTGAACACATAACAATGGCCATGGGAGAGTGGCGTCCTGGAGCTCCGAGCTCCTGCACAGAAGGTCAAGGCTGGTAGTTCTGAGTGTATCAGCGCTGCGCCCAGGGTGTGGCTGGTGGCGCAGCTCATGCTGGGGGTGGGGGGGAATAAATAGAAAGAGACGGCCGCACGTTTTGTGAATCGAAGATGGCTGTGTCCATCACTGCAGCCCCTGTCACAGGCTCACTGTGTCCTCAGTGCTCATCCTTAGCACTGTAGACAAGTGTCCTCCATGGGCCATGTCCCTGGCTCCCCCACTTTAAATTTTGAGGGAGATTCTTGCTAAATTGCCCACATTGGTCTCAAAATTCTGAGCTCCAGTGATCCTCCTGCATCAGCCTCCTGAATCCTGAGACTACAGGTGTGTGCCACCCTGCCTGGATTCTTGCCTTTTTTTATTTTGGTCTTTTTGAGACAGGGTCTCACTATGCAGTTCAGGCTGGCCTTGGGCTCACTTTGTAGCCCAGGATAGTCTCAAACTCTTAATGATCCTCCTGCCTCAGTCTCCCGAGTGCTGAGATGACAGGTGTGCACCACCATGCCCAGCTGGATTCTTGACATTTTTGATAATATGCCTGCGTTTGAAAATGTTTAAAGGGAAGATCTAGCCAAAGGGAGGGACTCCTGCGGCCTGTAGCGAGCACTCCTCAACAAACACCCGAGGAGATCAGTGTTGGCAGAGGTGCCGCAGCCTCCCCTTCCTCCCCTGGAGCCCTCTGCCTCACCCCACCTGCCGGGGACCCTGAGGGCTGTGCAGCCAGGCTCGTCCAGAGCAACGGAAGTGAGAACAATGCTTGCACGACTCCTGCCTCAGAGGAGGCCGAGCAAGTGTGTGACTCAGAGATACTGAGCAAGGCAGGGGCTTCCCTTGCCCTGGGGTGAGCCCCAGTTGCCATGCCTGGCTGGCCCTGGGTGACCTGGGGGAGGGGTGGGGGCTGGAGGACTTGGCAGGGGGCAGAGTGGAACTCCTGAGGACTCCAGGGCTGGAGCCTAGAGGTTGTGAATCTGAGTAAAATTCACAGAGGGTCACTTCTGGATTGTCCCTGGATGCTATGACTACTAATAACAGTGACCATAACAGGGATTCTTTCGTGCTGTCACGTTGGGCATCATTGATACAGTCCTGGAAACTCCAGGATTATCCCCATGTGCAAAGGCTGCCAGAGTGAACAGCTAGACACGCTTCTCTGCTAACAATTCTGCCTCATGTCCCCATCCCTGGTCAACCCCTGTGACCCTGCGTCCCCTGCATTTTGCATTCTGTTCCTTTCCGTTGGTGCCCTAACCTAAACGCTGTGTGACCTTGGACAAACTACAGCACTTCTCTGGGCCCCAGTTTCTTCCTCTGTAAAACAGAGGTGAACTTTGTTTCACAGATTAGATGAGTTCCGAGTGAGTAAGTGCAGTGTAAATTACAGCGCTTAGAGCTTTGCGTGGTTCACCTGAAGCCTGCACTTGCTAGGACTGCTGCTAGTATTACTCCACATCCCGCCACCTCTAAGATGTCACCAGGTGTAAAAGATGTCAGAAAGGGGGAAAGTGATGCCATTTAACATGTCTCAAGGTTGGTTGTTTATATTTCCCAAAAGGGCTCTCTGATTGGATTCTTATATAATTCTGAGGTGTATGTGATAAAGATAACAGAAGCAAATAAATCGGCTGCCCGATTCAGAAAACTCACATTTTATTTTATTTTTTTGGTACTGGGAGTTGAACCCAGGGCCTTGCACTTGCCAGGCAATCATTGCACCAGTGAAAGACATCCCTGGCCTCCCTCACATTTTAGAAGCTGATTCCGGCGTGTCATTTCTGGATTGAGAGTCCAGATGTCTGTGTGTTACCTGGCCACCTCCTCCACTGGCCCTGCAAAGGCTGCAAAGAGCAGTGCTCCTCCTATGCAGTCTCCAAAGCAGCAGCGGGAGATCAGCACAGCAAGCCTCCCAGCAGCCAGCTTCACAACCAGAGTGAGCCCACTTCTGCCCTGGCCGTGGAGCATGTCAGTAAGGCTGAGGCAGGCGGATCGCTCTGAGTCCCAGGTTTAAATGGTGCTTTATGCCTTTCTCTGGGCCTCCTGCTGACTCCCTTTCTGCAGGATTCCATGCTCATACTTTTGTGGCTGTGGTTTTTGCTTCAAGACATGGTCTTGCAGTGTAGTCCAGGCTGGCTTTGAACTCTCGTAGCCCAGGCTAGGTTCAGATTTGCAATCCTGCCTCAGCCTCGCAGGGCTAGGTTATAGATATTTGTCACCATGCCCAGCTAGTGTTTGTACTTGTGAAGCAAGGGCTTGTGCCAGCAATGACAGCTAAGTCAGGGTGGCAGCCAGGCAGCCAGCAGGCAACTGTGCCGCGTAACCTGACCTCAGAGGTGTTACATGTGAAAAGCAGTGTCTCAGAACAGGTAACACCTGAAGCATTGCTGAACTTGCACAGCCCCTGCGTGGGCTGCCTCTTAGCATCCCACATTCTGTTCCCAGTACCTGGAACACTGCTTTTCCCCTCCCTGCTTTGCCTGGTTAACCTGGTGGTCCCTGATCCATGCCTCCTCTGGGACGTCTTCCCTGACTGTTCCACCAAGGTGACGTCCACACCCTACAAAGGCTCTAGTACAGCTGAATCTTAATTCTGAGCGTGTGGTATGTAAGGAGCTGGCTCCCCAGTGTCCAGTTTGTCCTATGGAGTGGGGAGTGTCCCATACCCTAGCATCCAGCACGGTGTCCGGCACAAAGAAGGTGAGCTGGAGAAAGAACTGGGGCCATGCAGTGGACAGTGGGGGACCAGGATGCCATCCTGGCTCTGTGATGTGTTGTTAGTACTAGTACCACATCGTCTCCCACTAAGGGATTTTTCCAGCCTGCTTACATTCCAGATGGGAAACTGAGGCCTGACCAGCTGAGGTTACCTGTTCACAGCCCCAGGTATAGAGTATGAGGTGGGGTGAGGTCAGAGGAGGGGCCATGGGGCTTGCCATGGGGTTCAGAGCAGGCTTTCTGGGGGAGGAGGCTTCAGAATTAGGCGGCCTGGGTGGGGGTGGTTTGGGTAGAGCTTAGAGACATCCAGGAGACAGGAAAGGAGGAGGAAATCTGTCATACCAGGAGAGGCCCTTGAGGGCAACTGAGGCCCAGACCCTTCCGTGGCCCTGGAGGGGCCCATGCTGAGATTGTATCTAGGGTTTCATGCTGGGGAAGAGAAAGCCCCCCACAGCTGCGGGCTGGCCCTGTCTGAGATGCTGAGAGGATGGGGGTTAGGCAGCTCCGCGAGGGGGGATGCCTGGCCTCGGAACCCGGAAGGAGGAAGCTGCACAGGGTGTCTGTGGCTCTGCTGGGATCCCCTTGGGGACTTCCTCTTCCTCTCTGGGCAGGTGTAGCTGCCGCAGCGGATCGACACCCTGACCCCGACATGGAGGGGGGCCAGGGGCCCAGACTTGGAGACTTCCTGAGCGGGAGCCTGGCCACCTGGGTGAGGAGCAGGAGGGCGTGGGCTGCAGAGGAGTGAGCCCAGGGACGGGTAGGCACTGGGCTGGGGACATCTGCTCGCCTGGGGGTGGAGTCCACAGCAGATGAGGGAGACTAAGGGGTCCAGAGCCTGTGACTAGAGGAGGGGGTGCCGGGGTTCACTGGGGCAAGTCAGAGGGCCCAGTTTTGTTCTGTTGGTCCAGTGGACTCACTCTTTCCCCACAGGCGCTGGGACTGGCGGAGCTGGTGGGGGAGGCGGAGGAGCTCTCGGGGACCGAGGAGGAAGAGGGGCCTCTCAGTCCGGAGAAGAGGTTCCTTCGGCTCAGCGATGGAGCCCTGCTCCTCCGTGTGCTGGGCATCATGTAAGGGATGGCAGAGAGCTGGAGGGGAGGGATCTGCAGAGAGGGGGCCCAGCTAGGTGGTGGGTGGAGCCTGCTGTGAGGGAGGTGGGTCCTCAACCTACCTCTCATCCATGCCCCCATGCCCACAGTGCCCCCAGTTCCCGAGGGGGTCCTCAGAGGGCCAGCGGCCATGATGGACCTGAGGCCCGTCGGGTGTGGAACCTGAACCAGCTGTGGACCCGACTGAGAGACTTCTACCAGGTGGGGGCTTGGCAGGGGAGGGTAGAGTGGGGACTAATGCCCTACAAGAAGATGCCTCATATCCCTGCCCCCCAATCCAGGAGGAGCTGCAGTTGTTGGTCTTGTGGCCACCCCCAGATCTCCAGACGTTGGGGTTTGACCCCCTCTCAGGTGCTGCCCCCCTCCTAGCCCCCTCCTGCTACCTCACTCCCCAAGGCACCCCTGTAATCCCTCTGGCTTGTGCCCCACAGAAGAGGCGGTAGAGGGGCTGGAAGGCCTGCTTCGGCTGCTGCTGGGTGCGTCGGTGCAGGTGAGGACGGAGAGGAGGGGTGGGAAGAGCTGGGCATGGCACAGAGGAGGGGACCCTGCCTCAGTCTCCCTACTCCTGTCTCCATGCAGTGTGAGCACCGGGAACTCTTCATCCGCCACATTCAGGGGCTGAGCCTGGATGTTCAGAGTGATCTGGCTGCCGTCATCCAGGAGGTACAGGGCAGGTGGATAGCCAGGACTGGCACTGTCCCTGAGCCAGCCCTGCCACTTACCTTCTTCCCATGAACTGCTCCTATTGTGCTCCTAGGTGACCCAGCCTGGGGCTGGTGTGGTGCTGACTCTAGCTGGACCTGAGCCTGGGGAGCTGGCGCCATCGGAGCTGGAGATGTTGTCCCGCAGCCTGATGGGGACTCTGTCCAGGCTGGCCAGGGAGAGGGACCTGGGGACTCAGGTTAGATTAAGGCACTACAGGGGTATCATGGACCCAGTTATGCAGGGAAGAAATGGGGGGCTTGGAGCCCAGCTGTAGGATTGGGGTCTGGGTCTTCAACTATCAGGGTTGTCACAACCAGATTCATCTTTTGGTGTGGAGGACAATGTGGGTAGACTGGGGATGGTGACTCCTGACCTTTAACCTGTGACCTCCTACAGAGGTTGGCGGACCTGCTGCTGCAGCCAAGGTGGGCTCCCTTGCTGCCTGAGGCTCCTGTCAGGGCTCCCACAGAGGGTCCTTCGCACCACCTGGCACTGCAGCTGGCAAATGCCAAGGCCCATTTGCGGCGCCTGAGGCAGGAGCTGTGAGTGCTTGGGGGACCGGGGAAGGGACTGAGCTGGAGGGGAGAGGGCAGGCCCAGAAGGGGGTAGGATTAGGGTTAAAGGTGTGCCTTTCCCACACCCTCCCTTCCATGGCGTATCTGTCCAGGGAGGAGAAGGCCGAGCTGCTGTTGGATTCCCAGGAGGAGGTGCAGGGCCTGGAGGCTGAAATTCGAAGGCTCCGCCAGGAGGTGCTCTCGGATCCCCCTGCCCCGCATTACTTCCCCTCACCCATCCCACTGCCCCCCAGCTCCGCTCCTTCCCATCCCCTATCCATCTGGTCTGTGGTTGGTGGGTCCCAGCTCTGCATAGAGTTCCAGTTCTGCGTCCTCTGGCCCAGGCTCAGGCGCTGTCGGGACAGGCCAAGCGGGCTGAACTGTATCGCGAGGAGGTGGAGGCTCTGCGGCAGCGGGTGGGCCGCCTGTCCCGACTACAGGAAGAGCTGGGACGGTGTCGTGAGCGGCTTCAAGCGGCTGAGGCTTGCAAGAGCCAGCTGGAAGTGAGGAGGGGGGTGGCAGGGCAGGGAGAGGCGGGTCGGGTGTAGAGTGGAGAGCGTCTCATTTTAGAGGGATTAGGGAACAGTCTTGGCTGAGAGGAACGGGGGCGAGGTCCATGTAGAGAGGTAGCGTTTGGGCTGGGCCCTCCGGAGGATGGGGAGGCCGAGGAAGGGGGAGAGGCAGGCAGGGTCTTGGGACCCTGTAGGCCCTGAAGAGCCTGGGGGCTGCCTGACACCCCAGGCCAGGTTTTCCCTGCTCTCCCACCAGGAGGAGCGCGTGCTCTCAGGGGCCCTGGAGGCCTCGAAGGCGCTGCTGGAAGAGCAGCTGGAGGCTGCCCGAGAGCGCTGTGCCCGGCTGCATGAGGTCCAGCGGGAGAACCTGCTGCTGCGTACCCGGCTAGGCGAGGCTCACGCGGTGAGGTCACCTGAGGGACCCCTGTGACCTCTTTTGGTGCTCTGTAGTGGCCTGCACACCTCACCTGGCTGCAGCAGGGAGGGCTGGGCCAACTCTGCTGCTTTGTTCGCCAGGAGCTGGACTCCTTGCGGCATCAGGTGAACCAGCTTGCAGACGAGAACGTGGAGCTGGAGCTGGAGCTCTGCAGGAGTCTGGAGCCACCCCTGGACTCCCCTGTAGAGGGTGTGTGGGACCCTGGGGTGGGGAGCCTGGGGTGGGGAGCCTGGGGTGGGAGTACCTGTGATTTCCTACAGCTGTGGTCAAGAGGGCTGTGGTCTGCATCCTCTGTATGTGGGGAGCCAGGGGGTACGGGAGGTGCTGATCTACCTCCTTCCCACAGCACCCCTGCCCGCAGCAGCCCCCTCGCTGCAGGATGAGGTGAGGGAGGCCGAGGCAGGGCAGCTGCGGACCCTGGAGCGGGAGAACCAGGAGCTTCGAGGCCTGCTTCAGGCACTGCAGAGGCAGCAAGGTGACCAGGTGAGTCCCACCCACCATGGGGGGGTGGCCCCTCCTTGCCCTCCCTGCACCTGATTCTCCCTCTCATGTGCCCTCAGCCCCCCCTGTTGGAGGAGCAGAGCGGGAAGTCTGTGCTTCTAGTACCGGATGGTGCCCCCCAGGCATCCCTGGGCTCTGGCCACAGCCCTCAGTCCTTGCTTTGCCCCCAAGTAGGGGATCAAGACCTCCAGCTGACTCCCCCTGCATCAGACTTATGCCCTGAGGGATCAGCTGAGAGTCCCCAGGCATCTGATTCATCCCGAGAGGTGACAGAAAAGCCCTTCCAGGCAGCTGGCATAGAGACACAGGAGGCCCTGGAGGAGCCCAGTCCCAGAGCCACTCTCCAGTCATCCACTTGTGTGGCCCCATGTCAGAATCCAGAGATCAAAACAGAGGTGCTGCAGTTGCCGGGAGGAGAGACTGGGAAGATTCAGGCTCCCCAAAAGGAGTTGATGCTTGAGGTTCAGGGTCTGAGAGAGGAGGGTCCTGAGTGCAAGCGAGGCTCCTCAGAGCCCAGCCACTGTGAGCTGCTGGAGAAGCCTGTGACCATGGGCCAGGAACTGAATGCGCCTACCAGACCACCAGGGGCCCGAGGCCATGAGCTGCGGCTGATAGGGATGGTCAGAGAACTGGCCCCTCTATCGCCACAGCAGACATCTGAAGGTGCTCCCAATGCCAGGGCCTTGGAAGGACAGATCCTAGGGGAAACCCTGGAGGGTGGTGTCTCAGAGCAGGAGGCCCTCAGGGAAGAGGTGGCACGGCTGAGGACAGAGGCTGTGGCCCTGGAAGCTAAGCTGGAGGCCCAGGCCCGAAGGCTGGAGGCCCGAGGTGCAGAGGTGGCCCGACTCTCTGAGGAGCTGGCGCATGCACGAAGAGCAGAGGCTGAGGCTCATCGGGAGGTGGAGGCCCATGCCCAGGAGCAGACCCAGCTGCGGGAGGCTGTGGAGGCAGCTGGCCGAGAGCTGGAGGCTGCATCACGGGAGCGGGAGGCGCTGGCAGAGGCCCTGGCAGCAGCAGGCCGAGAGCGGAGGCAGTGGGAACGCGAGGGGCCCAGGCTGCGGGCCTGGGCCGAGGCTGCTGAGGAGCGGGTGCAGGCACTGGAGAGCCAGAGGCAAGGCTGCCTGCAGGAGGCTGAGCAGGAGCGCCGGGAGAAGCAGGCCCTCAGTGAGGTAGGTTGGAGCTCTTGTCGAAGGTGTAAGTGGCAAACAGGATTCCAGGGTGGGTGCTGAGTTTGGGGTTATGGATTCCTAGCCCCAAGCCAGACTGTCTGCCACGTTTACCTAGGTCTCAGCCCATGGCCGTGGCTGGGGATAGGGTGGACCTCCTGCGTGGGTACAGTTGTGGTGCTCTGGCTATGGCAGTTTACTGCGCCAGCCCCTCCTACTATAACATGGGGTTGCCATTCCTTTGGGACAGTCATCATGCAAAGGGCCTGGATACTGTTGGGCCAAGGCATGATGTGAGCAAACAAGAAATGAATTTTCAGGGCAAAATGCCACAAGAGCCCTAGGGAGGGGAGCTGCCATCTAGGTGATAGGAGGCCTCAAGGAGGAATGACCAAGATTTCACTTGGTGGGGAAGGATGAAGCCATTAAGAGGTCCAGGAAGAGCAAGGCAAGGGGTCATCTCTGAAGGGGCTGGGACTCCATCCTCAGGCAGCTGAAGCCTCCTGAGGGTGTGGGCAGCCTCTTCCGTGGGGCTGGGTTTGTGAGGGTTACCTTGGTTGGCAGGAAGCCTGGGGCCATCAGAAGGCACTGGCAGCGCTGCAGGTAGCAGGTAGGAGAGAGAAGGCCCGGACATGCTCATGTTCACCCATTCACACACGTTTTACAGGTCGTGCCAGGCCCCGTGTCAGGCATTAGATGCATAGCACTGACAGGCAGCCAGCACCCTGGACTCAGACTGTGGCTCATCGGGAAGGCTTCCTGGAGGGGAGTAGAGGCTCCAAGGGTTAAAGATAGTCAGGCGTGAGTCAGAGGGGTGTGAGGTAGGGCTCACACCCTACCTCAGGTGAGTGAGCTGAGGATGGATTAAGTAGGGTTCCTGCTTTCTTCCAAGCTGAGGAAAGATTCGGGGCTTGTGTAGTGGTCAGTCCATGTTGAGAGATGCCCAGGGGAAGTAGGGGGACAGCACAAGGCCAGGAGAAGGGTGTGGAGCCAGCAGGTGGCAGTGTGGAGGGTAAGGGCCTCTGTGGTAAGGAATGGTATTATTTCCTGGCATGCGAGTCTTTCAGGTCCACCCTTGTTCAGGTTCAGAGAGGAGGGGAGGAGGAGAAGGAGGGGGAGGGGAGAGGGAGGGGGAGGAGGAGGAGCTCGCCTGGATCCCTCCTGATAGCCAGGATGACAACACTGGTGGGGTTGACTGGGTTAGACCTTGAGCAAGGCAGGCTGGGAAGGGGAGTTGAGGAAAGTAAGAGTTGGCATGGGTGACAGGGTGAGGTGAGGGGCTGTCCCTGGGGTCCACTTTGTAGGGTGAGACCAAGAGATGCCCTGAGGTCAAAGGAAATGCATCACATCCCAGTTTTTTTTTTTTTAAGCTGCATGGCTTGGGGCAAGTTACTTCACCCCTCTGAATCCTGGTTTCCTCACCTGTAAAACTGGAATAAAAACTAGACCTGTCTTCCAGGGCTTGTGAGATAATAAATGGAGAGTGCTTGGTGCCCTTGGCCCCTAGTGATTGCTGCAGGGAGGGATGCCTGCAGGGCAGGTGAGGGTAAGTGGGTGAGGCGGAAGAGGAAGAAGCTGGAGACTAGCGAGTAATGTGGGATTTCCCGGTTGGAGCAGTTCTTGGGGCTCCCTGGGTGTGGCATAGGCCTTGCTAGCCTTCTGGGAGGTCTGGGAACTAGGCATTTCCAGGTTGTGCCCTGGGCTGAGGCCAGGGCCTGCAGGGACAGGGCAGGACTCTGGGCCGCTCTGCCTTTCTCCTCCACCTTTCTCTCTACCTCAGCTGCACTCAGGCCGCAGGGGCACTTGGTGGCTGGCCAGGCAGCAGTACCTTGTGAGATTTGCAGTTTTCCAGCAACAGGCCAAAGGCATGAGTATCAGAAAGACCCTTGCCCATGGCAGGGCTGGCAGGGCTGTTCACAGGGTGATTGTTCCACAGGAGAGCCTTGTAGGCTTGGTTTCCAGGAGCAGGATGTGGCAGGTGGCTGGTTCATGTCCCCCTTCCATGGCATCATCTTGCCAGGACCCCTGTGTGTCAGAATGGTTTGGCCTACCTCCTGTGGGGTGGGCACCGACTTGGAAGAGCCTGCACCCTCCCTCAGAGATGGTGCATCCCAACTGCCAAAGCCCAAGGCCTTAACCTGTCCCTGTTCCCTCCTGACCTCCACTGGGGTTAGGCCTGCGACCCCCAAGTCCCTACACACTGAGGCTGGCCCCAAGGGGTGGAGGATGTTCTTCAGGCTCCATTCTACTGGGCCCCTGCTGCTCCCACAGGGCTGATGAGATGTCCCATAGGGCGCAGCTCCCTGTCCATGGGCCCAGGAAGAACTACAGTCTCAGAGAGGTGAAGATCCTTACAGAGTATTATCTCTGATTTGGCCCAGGGGCCCTGCCTGACTGACAGCAGGCTCTGCTCCCATTTCATAGGTGGAGAAGTAGAGATTCAAAGGGTTAAAGGTAGACAGGAGTGGTGGCACGTGCCTGTAATCCCAGTACTGTGGGAGGCTGAGGCAGGAGGCTCCTGAGTTTGACCTAGCAAGCTTGGGCAACTGAGTGACCTAGCAAGACCCTGTCTCAAAAGTAAAAAATAAAAATTCCTACAAAAATCCAGTGTTCCACTTGTTCTCAGGAAGGTGGAAGGTCATTCCTACCCCCTGAGCCTGCTCTGCCTGCCCTCAGGAACTCGAGAAGGCCACGGCTCGGGGCCTGGAGCTGGGGTCCCGGCTGGAGCACCTGCAGCAGGAGCTGGAGCAGGCGGCACAAGAGCGCCTCAAGTTTCTTCAGGAGCAGGAGAACCAGCAGCAGAGGTGGGAGCTACGCTCCACGGGTGGTGAGGGGCAGGGAGAGAGGCTCGGTGCCAAGGCTTCTCCTGGCAGGTACCAGGGCCTGGAGCAGCGGTTGGAGACTGAGCTGCAGGCAGTGGCCACCAGCAAGGAGGCGGCGCTGATGGAACTTAAGAGCAGGGCACTGAAGCTGGAAGAGGAGCTGCTCCAGGTGAGGCTGCAGGGACCTGCCCCACCCTCCTGCCTTCCCACAGCCCACATCTGGGCTGCCTGCGCCCTTCTTGCCCCTGGATCCTTCCTTAACTGCTTGCCTCGCACACCCCTGGGGCTTCTGGAGGGAGCACTGTACTGGGAGCTAAGCAGCTGGGTGGCCATCTCGGGATCTGCCCTCAGTGGACAGAACCTCTGCTTTCGGGTGCTGCTCTGTGACTCTGGCTCCGGCCCTACTGCTTCCCGGTGGCCCGGACGCTGACTGTTTCTGATGCCCCAGTGAAGGGGCCAGGCTCACTGGCATGGATCCCTGTGCTACCTCCCCAAATGACCTCCCAGACCTGTCCTTGCAGCTGCGCCAGGGCCCCATGGGAGTTTCTGAGCCACAGGTGGCAGCGGCCCAGGGCAGCCGGCTCATTGAGGTGGAGCGCAGTGTGAGTGTGGGACTGTGGGATGAGGGTGCTGGGGGTGGGGGATGCTAGAGGGGGGTGGTGCTAGAGGGGGAGCTGCCTAGGCAATGCTGACCTCACCTTCCAAACAGAACGCAACGCTGGTGGCTGAGAAGGCGGCGCTGCAGGGGCAGCTGCAGCACCTGGAGGGGCAGCTGGGGAGTCTGCAAGGCCGGGCCCAGGAACTGCTGCAGCAGAGTCAGCGGGCACAGGAGCATAGTAGCCGGCTACAGGTGGGTGGCAGCTGGTGCTTGTCCCCTGCGCACTCCCACTTGCCCTTTGGTTATTGTTTTGTGCCACTGCCTCTACCCCGGTCCCCAGTCACCTGCCCCACCTCTGCTCCCCAGTCACAATTACCCCTGTCTTCTGACCCCAGCCATCCCAGTCTGTGCCCTTTCTCTTCCCCAGCCCCAGCCCCAGCTCCATCCACCCATCCCTGTCCTGGCCCTCCTGCCCTTCCTCATACAACCTGGCACCACCAGACCCCACACTGGCTCTCCTTGTCCTCTGTCCCCTCCCCTTTGCCCACATTTTGGGCCTAGCATCCCACTACAAGTCCCCATTCCCTCCTCCTCCTAGGCCGAGAAATCTGCGCTGGAGCTGCAGGGCCAGGAGCTGCACCAGAAGCTGGGGGTGCTGGAGGAGGAGGTTCGCGCGGCACGGCAGGCCCACGAGGAGGCTCGAGGACAGCAGCAGGCTCTGCTGCGGGACCACGAGGCTCTGGTGCAGCTGCAGCGGCGGCAGGAGGCCGAGCTGGAGGGGCTGCTGGGCCGGCACCGTGACCTCAAGGCCAACATGCGGGCGCTGGAGCTGGCCCACCGGGAGCTGCAGGGCCGGTGAGCCTCCCCCAAAATACCCTGCTCCCTTCCCTATACCCACTTGCCTGGGACCGGGTTCCCTCAGCAGGTCTGACCCACCAGGAAATACCACAAGGTCACAGCTCTCTGGGACACCCCTGTGATCTATATGCTCTCTTGGGCGTCTGAGCCCCTGCACTTCTGGGCCAGGCTCACCAACTTGGCAGTGGTGGTGTCTGGTGTGGCCTTTTGTCCTGCAGCCTTACCTTGGGAGACCCATGTTCAGGAGATGACAGACCTTTGGGTCCAGTATCCCAGCACCCATTTGTCATGGTCTGGAGCTCTGCAGTCCTCTTGGTCCCTTGCCCATTCAGGCACGAGCAGCTGCAGGCCCAGCGGGCCAGCGTGGAGGCCCAGGAGGTGGCCCTGTTGGTTGAGCGTGAGCGCCTGATGAAGGATGGACATCGGCAGCGGGGCATGGAGGACGAGCTGCGGAGGCTGCAGAATGAGCACGACAGGTACCTGGCCCTTAGTCTAGCCGCGGTGTGCCCATCTGAAGTGGGTTGGCTGTGTTTGTCCCTGCCCTGCTGCGGGTTCCCTGGCTCTAACAGAACAGCTGTCTTTGCCCCCAAGAGCTCAGATGCTGCTGGCAGAAGTGTCTCGGGAGCGCGGGGAGCTGCAGGGTGAGCGTGGAGAGCTGAAGGGGCGACTGGCCAGGCTGGAGCTGGAGAGGGCGCAGCTCGAGGTGCAGAGCCAGAAGCTGCGCGAGTCCAACCAGCAGCTGGACCTGAGTGCCTGCCGGCTGGCCACACAATGCGAGGTGCTGGGGCCGGGTGGAGCTGGCGGCCCAGGGTGGCTGAGCAGAGGGTGAATGGGGAGAGTGGCTCGGGTCATTGCAAGCCAGGCTCATCCCCGACTGTTCCCCAATACTTGCAGCTGCTGACAGAGCTTCGGAGTGCTCAGGAGGAGGAGAACCGGCAGCTGCTGGCTGAGGTGCAGGCCCTGAGCCGGGAGAACAGGGAGCTGCTGGAGCGCAGTCTGGAGAGCCGGGATCACCTGCATCGTGAGCAGCGCGAATACCTGTGAGCAGGCTGCACCCGCCCCCAGGGCGCCCCAGGAAGTCCCAGACAAACCACTGGGGCTGACTAGCACTGGTCGGTCGATCTCACCTGTGGCATGGCTGCCCGGCCTGGCTGCCCCAGGCCTCAAGTCCACCCCTCCATTCCTCCTCCCACCAGGGACCAGCTCAATGCTCTTCGGCGTGAGAAGCAGAAGCTGGTAGAGAAGATCATGGACCAGTACCGAGTGCTGGAGCCCGGGCCCCTGCCCCGGACCAAGTGAGGACCCTCTAAACTCCCAGCTCCCCGGGGCTGACAGCCTGCCAACCTCCACCCCTGCCCTTCCCTCTGCCCCCCCCCCCCCCGGCCTAGCTCAGGCACAGGCCCCAGTGAGGGTTGGCTTGGTCTTTGCCATCTCTGACACAACCCTCCTCTTCTTTCTTCCTCCCTGTCCTGACCCTCTCTTGTGCCCTCTTGCCCCCAGGAAGGGCAGCTGGCTGGCAGACAAGGTGAAGAGGCTGATGCGGCCCCGGCGGGAGGGGGGCCTCCATGGGGTGCCACGCCTGGGGGCTGATGGGGCTGGCAGCACCGAGAGCCTGGGGGGCATCCCCGAGACCGAGCTCCCTGAGGGCAGGGAGGCAGATGGGACAGGTGGGTCCGGGGCCAGGGTCTCCCTTCCCTATGTCCCCCCATGCGCCCTCGGCCTCTGGCCTCTGCCTCGCTGCCTGGCCTGGGGATATGCTTCTGCCTGCCCAGATGCTTCCAGCAGCTCCATAGTCTGGGCTCTGCAGGGCCCCTCTTGCTGGCACCTTCCTCTTACCTAAGTTGCCACCCACCCAGTCCCACCCGACACAGGGCAGGGGCTGGAACCTGGGAGTGACAGGGGACTCTAAAAGCAGATGAGGAAACTGAGGTCCAGGAAGGGCAGGTATCTTGCCCAAGGTCACACAGTGAATTAGTGTTGGAGTCAGCACAGAGCTCAGCCTCTGGGGTGGGGGCTGCCCCTGTCTGCCTGGCCCCTTCTGTGCTCTGCGCCTTTCTCCCGGGCCCTGGGTCCCTTCGCTCTAGCCTCCCTGCTGGGGGGCCCTCCCTGCACTCTGACACCCTCCGGGCATGTGCCCTTGCAGGAGCCTCTTCACCGGCACCCGTGCGCCGGGCCCAGAGCTCCCTGTGTCTACGAGAGACCCTGGCTAGCAGCGGGCAGCGGCGGAAACTCAGTTCACGATTCCCAACGGTGCGAAGTTCTGAGTCGTTCAGCCCGGGGGACACTCCCCGGCAGAGATTCCGCCAGCGCCGTCCAGGCCCACTGGGAGCACCGAGCACCCATGGCAAAGGTGAGGGGCCAGGTCCCCAACTCTGTTAGCCCGCTCCTCCCTGTGGGCCCACCATTTGGGGTGAGGGGACGTCCTTCCCACCCCATGTCTGTCTCCTGCAAACCCTACCTGTCTCGGCCCTGGTCCCTGGGCTGCTTTGTATCGCTCAGGTGTGGAATGGGATGGCTCCACCAAGACCGCCCAGGAACATGAAGCAGATGCCAGCAGGGAGAGTGAGTGGGGTCTGGGAGGGCGTCGGGTGTCTGTCCTGCCTGGGCTCTGGCAGTCTTCACTCATCCGTCTTTTACCTGGTGATGCTCTTTTACTAGGTGCTAGCCGTGTGCTATTTGGGGACACGGCAAGGACACGCTGGGGTTGAGGGGGGTTACTCAGTAGACCGTACAGATATACATAATCATGGCCTGCCACAGCCCTGCCCAACAGAAGTACAGCTTGACTTTCTAGTAGCCTCGTCAGAGTAAAGAAAAAGAGCCCAGTGTGGTGGCAGACACCCCTCACTCCAGCATTCTGGGGAGCAGAAGTAGGATCACAAGTCTGAGCTCAGCCTGGGCAATTTAGTGAATTACAATAGAGACCCTGCCTCAAAATGAAAAAATGGAAAAAAGGTCTAGGGATGTCACTCAGTGAGAAAGCCCAGGGTTCAATCCTCAGTATTCCTCCTGCCCCCCCAAAAGGAAAAACAATAGTTAAAATGAATCTTAGTAACATGCCTTTTTGGTTTGTTTTGTGAGACAGGGTCTCACTACACAGTTCAGACTGGCTGTGAGCCCACTTTGTAGCCCAGGTTAGCCTCGAATTTTCCAGGATCCTCCTGCCTCAGCCTCCTAAGTGCTAGGATTACGGGTCTGCACCGCCATACCTGGCAATGACATATTTAACTCAGTATGCTTAATGATTGTGGTCTCAACATGTAGCCAGTGTTGTCAACAGTGGGATGTGGGACATTTTTCATTTTAAGTCTTGGAAGTTTGGTGGCCATTTCATGTGTGAGCAGCCGGCGGCTCAGGCCTGTCTCAGCTGTCCCACCTCACAGGCGACTCGACCTGGGGGCAGTGGGGGCGACAGTGTTGAGGAGCGCTGGAGGGTGAGCAGGAGGTGCATGGTGTTGGCCTTGGTGGGCCTGAGCTGAGCCTTTTCCTCCAGGTCTCCAGGAGCAGGAACTGGAGAAACGTCCCCTCGCCACGTCCCTTAGTCAGTGACACCATGGGGACAGGGAGCTCGGGAGTCCAGTCCTCTCGCCACTGGGGTATTAGTAGGGGCCCCAGGCAGCTCAAGAGCTCGGGTGACCAAAGCACCCAGGAGGAATTCTTGGACGAAGAGGCCTCGGCTTGCAGGTCCTCCACGGCCTGCACTAGGGCCCCGGCCTGGAGCTTGGACAATGTGGACAGGGGGGATGGCTGGCCCTCACGAGCGGCCCCGTCTTGGGGCCCTGGCCCTGCTGTACAGCCGTCACCGAGGAGGCGGTCTCTGGGGCATCCATCTCAAGAAGGTTGGCAGGAGAAGCCAAGAGAGCCCCCTCGCTGATCCAGATTGGGAGCCAAGACCCATTCCCTGGAGAACGTGGCCTAGCCTGCTGTCTGAGCCTTTGCTGGGACATGAGAATAAAGCTGAGAGGCAACCACCGAATCTGTGCTGTGTCTGCTGGCTGCGACGGTGCCAGGAGGCCATGGCCGTCTCCTGGCCGGCGGGGGTCTGGCCAGAGGCCCCCATCTAGACAGGGCAGTGAAACATGCTGAGGTCTGGACAAAGAGGCTGGGAGGTGGATGATGGGTTAGGAAAGCCGGCAGTCGGAGGCCTGGGGTTTGGCCCTTTTTTCTCCTCCCCATCTTCCTGCCTCCTCAACTTCTTTCTCCACCTCCCCAGGGCTCTCCCAGGCAGCGGGCATCACCTAGTGCCAGGGGCTGCCACAGAGGTGGGAGGGATGGCTGGAAAGGGGCACAATTAGATTAGGCGGCAGGATGTGAGTCAGGTCACCTGGGGCCACCGGGGGAGGGTGGGGCTGCCCAGAGCTGAGATGATGTGGACAGAATTTAGGGTGGGCCAGGCAGGGAGGGGTGGCCAGTCCTGCCTGCCTCCCGGGAAGACCTGCGGCAGCCGTACTCCTTCCTGCTGCACAGGACTGTGGAGTCAGGCGACCCTGCAGTCTCCAGCAGGCAGAGGAGCTCAACAGCTCCTTTCCGTAGGGCTCAGATGGCTTCCCAGCCCTGGAGGTGGTCCCTGGAGTCCCAGGCCAGCTGGACTGTGGGCCTTGAGGGGAGAGGACTGCCCCTTGTGTCTCTGACATTCCTTTTGTGTTTTTTTGGTACTGCAAATCGAACTCACAACCTTAGACACTATGCCACTGAGCTATATCCCCACCAGCCCCTCCGTCATTCCTTTTTGGGGCTATTTCCAATACTCTGGTAGCCAGGGCACCTTGGAGATACAGCCTTGCCAGGGCCCCAGGGGTGAGGCACGTGGGGTGTGTGTGTGTGTGTGTGTGTGTGTATGTGCATGCGTGCAGGGTGGACAGCAGCTGGCTAGGGCTGCACACCTTTCAAGGGGACACAGAAACCTTTTATCTGCAGCTTCAAGGAGTGGTCTAGGAGCAGGGAGGGCTCCTGACTGGTACTGAGTTGCTCCCTCTCACTAGTGATCAAGATAACTGAACAAAAGCAGCTTGGGGCTAGCCCTGGGGGAGAGTGTGTGCATGCCTGGGTGGGCTTCTCTCCTGGGCTTGGGGCCAGCACTTCTGGGCCCTCATGCAGAGGACTGCGGGCCTCCTGGTAGATACCTGGCTCTGGGCGCAGCCGCAGCCACAGCAGCAGTTGAGAGATCCAGTGGCAGAGCTCACCCAGTTTCTGCAGCTCCCGGGGAAGGCCGGTGGGGTCTCTGAGTGCACACCCTGATTGCTGGGCGTGGCTCAGGAAGCGGCCCTCCTCCACCCACTTTGCTGTTTGCCCACCCTCAGCCCTGTGCTGTCACGTTCCAGCCGCCTGACTCAGACCTCATGGGGCGGGGAGCCGGGAGGCGGTGCTGGGCGCCTGCTCTGCCCCAGAGGCGGCACCAGGAAGCGCCCGCCCCGGCCTGAGCCGCCATGTAACCGGCGCCGCCCGCCCCAGCCCCAGCTGCGCGGGCCCCAGCAACCCATCGGCCATGGGGGACGAAGATGAGGAGGAGGGCTGCGAGGTGGAGCTTCGGATCACAGAAGGTGAGCCAGGGGCCTGGCCATGGCTGCCCAGGCAGCAGGGAGGAGTCAGGGACTGGCTGGGCTCATTCCCCACCCTGTGTGTGCAGCCAATCTGACTGGGCATGAGGAGAAGGTGAGCGTGGAGAACTTCGAGCTGCTCAAGGTGCTGGGCACGGGAGGTGAGGACCCTGTGTGCTGGGAAGGTGTCCCAGGCGTGGAGCATTGGGCCTCCTACCCACACGTCTGCTGGGGCCTGGGCCAGGCCACTGGGGAGGCCCCCCACCCTTTCCCGGCACGGCCTGCCTTGCCCGCCCTGCCCTACTCTGCCAGGGTTTTGTGCCCACTTGCAGGGCACTCCATAGCGAGGTTCTGTGTGTGCATGTCCCCTGCTGGGATTTGCCAGCCCCCCTGGGGGACCTGCACCCTCCCAAATGGTTTGCACACCTCCTCCCCTTCTCCTGAAGTGAGAGCCCCTTCCCACAGTTTGCAAACTCCCAGCTCTGGTCTGCACATCCCGCCTCCAGCCCCAGCCGCACCTCTGGTTCCCTCATTTGCATCCCTTCTCCTCCCTTTGATTTTTCTCAGGTTTGCACATGCCCCACCCCCACCCAGCCCCTGGCTGCAGGCCTCCTGCTTTTTTACATCACCTCCTTGGTTTTGCTGAGCACCCTCCAGGGATGTGCACACCTTTCCCATAGAAATCTCTGCCAGTGTTCGGCACACCTGCCTCTCACTTCCAATCTGCACATCCCACCTGAGTTGGCACCATCACCAGCCCCAGCCATCCGCCCCAGCCTCCCGCTCACCACCCACCCTCTGTCCCATCACCACTCCCACAGCCTACGGGAAGGTGTTCCTGGTGCGGAAGGCAGGCGGGCACGATGCGGGGAAGCTATATGCCATGAAGGTGCTGCGCAAGGCGGCGCTGGTGCAGCGCGCCAAGACCCAGGAGCACACGCGCACAGAGCGCTCGGTGCTAGAGCTGGTGCGCCAGGCGCCCTTCCTGGTCACACTGCACTACGCCTTCCAGACGGATGCCAAGCTGCATCTCATCCTGGGTGAGGGTGCACCGCACACTGGCCTGGGCTGGGGGGAAACACAGGAGCAGGCAAGACGGTGGTCTGGGCCAGTCCTGACTTCCATGGCATCCCCAGACTACGTGAGCGGTGGCGAGATGTTCACCCACCTTTACCAGCGCCAGTACTTCAAAGAGGCCGAGGTGCGTGTGTACGGCGGTGAGATCGTGCTGGCTCTGGAACACCTGCACAAGGTGGGTAAGGCCCTGGCCTCCTGGCTGTGCCATTGGTGCCTGAGCCTGGGCCTGATGGGCGGCCTACAAACACTGCAGGCTGGGGTCTCCCCTGGGCCTCTGGGAGCTGGGGGTAGCTCAGTGGGGCCTGGACCCATTTGATGGGGTCTCCTCCCTGGCTTCTCCTTGTGGAGATTTCCTCTCACAGGGAACTGAGGGCTGCCTCTACCAAACTTCCTCAAATGGCGGCCTTCTGTCTGAGCTCCCAAGGCCTCCTGGAACTGGGTTCTTCACATTCTCTGCTTTCCTCTTCCTGGATCCTTGGGGCCCATCCCATGGGGGCCTGTCCCATGGGGGCATGTCCTTTGCTTTATGCCTTGGATGGCCTTTCCTAGCTCATGGCCCAGTTCTGCACGGGCCCACTCCTTCCCTGGAGGCCGTCTGCAGGCAGATGATCTCTCAGGTGTCTCCTTGTCCTGGGCCTGGTGCTGGGACGAGGGTTATGGGCATTGAGGAGGGTCTTGGGGTGGACATCTCAGTGGCCCTCCTGTTCCTAACAGCTGGGCATCGTCTATCGAGACCTGAAGCTGGAGAATGTGCTCCTGGACTCTGAGGGCCACATTGTCCTCACGGACTTTGGGCTGAGCAAGGAGTTCCTGACGGAGGAGGTGAGTGGGCCCCGTGCAGGCGTCTCCTTCCTGCCTGTGTCTTCCTGCTCCATGCCTGCGGCCTGGGGGTGCGAAGTGAATAGACCCAGAAGTTCCCACTGCTCGACCCTCCAGCTGCACAAGTTGAGTGAGTCCTGCTCTGAGCCTCGGGCGCCGCTGGGGCCCAGGAGCGGCTGGGAAGTACAAACCAGTCCTCTCGTCCTCCCAGAAAGAGCGGACCTTCTCCTTCTGTGGCACCATCGAGTACATGGCCCCTGAGATCATCCGTAGCAAGGCAGGGCACGGCAAGGTGGGTTGGAGAGAAGGCTGGGTGGGGTACTGGGTGAGAGGCAGGGAGGCCTGGAACCTCACTGGGCCTGGCCCTGGCCCCGCAGGCTGTGGACTGGTGGAGCCTGGGCATCTTGCTTTTTGAGCTGCTGACGGGCGCCTCACCTTTCACACTGGAGGGCGAGAGGAACACACAGGCCGAGGTGTCTCGGTGAGCAGGGCCCTATTGGAGGGCAGTGAGGGGGCTGCAGGGCCTGCCAGGGCTGGCCAGGGAGGGGGGCTTGCTGCCCCTGACACCCACTCATCCTCCCAGACGGATCCTGAAGTGCTCCCCTCCCTTCCCTTCCCGGATCGGGCCTGTGGCACAGGACCTGTTGCGACGACTGATGTGCAAGGACCCAAAGAAGCGGCTGGGTGCGGGTCCCCAGGGGGCGCAGGATGTAAAGAACCACCCTTTCTTCCAGGTGAGGCTGCTGCTGTTGCTCTGGGTGGGAGGACAGATCAAGGATGGGCAGAGCCCAGCCAGGTCCCTCTGTGGGGAGGCCCCGGCAATCAAGGAAGCAAGACTAAAAGCGAAGGCCACACTGTGTCAGTAATAGCTGGGTCTCACTATGCAGTTCAGGCTGGCCTTGAACTTGCTCATACAGCCCAGGCCAGCCTTGAACGCACAGTGATCCTCCTGCCTCAGCCTCCTGAGTGCTGGAATTACAGGCATGCACCACCATGCCTGGTTCCTATCCATCTTCAGGGAAGCTGGGCAGGTGTTTTCCTGGAGGAAAAAACTTGAGGCTTGATAGGGACTTGAGCCTGGGCTGGTCAGCCCTTTCATGAGACAGACAGAGAAGGCACAGGAAGTGGTGCAAAGCTGGGGTATGATCTCTAGATAGGTTTTTTATTGTCCTAAAGGAGTAATAAAACTCACTCTCCTGTCTGCTAGCATCCACCCAGGGGTTTTTCCTCTTTATCTCGTGGTCTGTGGGCCTGGAGTTCAGAGGGACACTGGTCAGCCCACTGGGTGTTCTGAGTGCACACGCCCAGGAGTGTGTGCGCCATGCAGTGCATTGGGCCTCATTGTGACAGCCTGTTGGGTGGCAGCACCGTGTGACCCTGCTGGGGTTGGCCCCCGGCCTGTCTTTACTGATGCAGAAAGTGAGGTTTGCAGAAGTCATTTGCTTAAGTCACCCAACGGGTTAGTGACGGGTCTCACATTTCCTAGAGTTTGGGGTGATAACGAGGGCGTCCACTACGGGGCCAGCTTTTCTGCTGCTCTGGC